ATAAGGGAAAGCAGCTAATGAGGTGCTTTCATTTTCTGATTATGCAGGAATCAGTTTCGAAGAGGTGCTGGGTTTAATGATTATGCTGCAATTTTTTTTTTCCTAATTATGCGGGAATCAATACCAACAACACTTTTAATAAAAAGTTTACCAAACGCCAAACTGCTTTCTCTCACAGTTGATTTCTCTGACAGCAAATCTGACAGCGATTATTTTCACAGCACAGCAATGCCAAACTGGCCCTTAGTCATATTTTTCACTTCCCACACCAAAAATCTTTAAAAAAAATATTGTCCAAATTAATTGTTTAGGTAAACAAATATGTGAAAAAAAACAAAAAAAATGAATAGTATTTGCCCTAAACTAGGGCAACTATTGGAAACCAACATTGCTTTTTGCAAGGGCAGCCATTATTCACATGAATAGTGGCTACTCTAGCTCCCCCCTTATCATGGCAAGAGGCAATTGCTGGAAATGCTCTTATGGGATTTGGTGGGAGCAACTTTCTATGCTCCACCACTGAGAGCATTTCCAGCAGTTGCCTTTAGAGCAAGTCCAGCAGCTAGTTTTGGACTCGGGCTGGGGGGATTTTGGGAGAAAAACGGGCTCCAGCAGAAAAGGCTGGCCCGAGGGTGGGGTGGGGGCCACGAAGAAGGGCTGGCCCGAGGGCAGGTTCAGCCTGAGATCCAAAACGAGGGGGCTGACGTCAGCAACAAAAAAAAAAAAAAAAATCGAAAAACAAAACAAAAAAATTCAGATTTTTTTAAAATAAATACTTAGTCATATTTTTCACTTCCCACACACCAAAAATCTTTTTAAAAAAATATTGTCCAAATTAATTGTTTAGGTAAACAAATATGTGAAAAAAATATAAAAAATGAATAGGTATTTATAGAAAAAAAAATTCATTATTTTTTTAAAAAAATTTTGATTTTTTTTCATTTTTTTACTGCACAAAAATTGGCTGCCGTTGGATTTGAGGAAAAATTCTGATCAGACAGCCCAGAACGCGACACATGGCAGAGTAGTACTGTAGCAATGCACTGTAGCACTGACGTCGTCATCATGATGTCAGCTCGCCCTCGTTTTGGACCTGGGGCTGGACTTGCCCTCAAGCCAGCCCAGTTCGCTGGGTCCCACCTCCTGCCCGGGCTGCATTTTGCAGCTGGAAACATGTTTTCGGCCCAAACCCCCCCCAGCCTGACCTGCTGGAACTGCTCTTAGTGGCCTCAAAACAGCCTTTGAACTCTGCTTCCATAGTTGATGTAGCTACAACAGTTTGTTTGGCACTTATCCATGAAACAACACCACCAGCAAGAACAAAAACATAACCTGCTGTAGATTTTTTGTCATCCGTGCAACCAGCCAAATCCGAATCTGTATAGGCTACTATCTCAAGCTTCTCCACTTTGCTATAAATCAGCATATGTGACTTAGTCCCTTGCAAATACCTCAACACCTTCTTGGCAGCCACCCAGTGAGGTTCTCCAGGATTTGCTTGAAATCTTCCAAGCACACTCACAACAAAGGCTAAATCAAGTCTTGTGCATACTTGTGCATACATTATGCTTCCAACTAATGAAGCATAAGGTCTGAGTTTCATTTGCTCATTCACTAATTCATTTGTAGGAGATTGACTTTTATTCAACTTGTCACCTTTTCCTATAGGAAGTTGTACTTTTGAGCATTTCTCTGTTTTAAATCGTTTAAGTACCTTTTCAATATAGGTTTTCTGAGACAGCCCCAAAAGACATCTTGATCTGTCTCTCAAAATTTCTATACCTAAAACAAAACGAGCTTCTCCCATATCTTTCACGTCAAAAAATTTAGAAAGCATTTCCTTGGTACTTTTAAGCGACTGAAAATCTGAGCTTGCAAGAAAAATATCATCTACATAAAGTACAAGGAAAATGAATTTGGAACCACTCACTTTTAAGTAGATGCACTCATCAAACTTGTTTTTTGCAAAGCCGAAAGCAGTGATGACTTTATCGAATTTGAGGTACCATTACCTTGATGCTTGCTTTAAACCATAGATTGACTTATTTAATCTGCAAATCATGCTTTCCATCCCCCTTTCAACAAATCTTGGAGGCTACTGCATAAAAATTTCCTCATGTAAATCACCATTGAGGAAAGCAGTCCTCACATCCATCTGGTAGAGCTCTAAGTTGAAGTGTGCTGTGAGGGCCATAATTATTCTAAAGGAATCCTTGGAGGAAACTGGAGAAAAAGTCTCTGTGTACTCAAAACGTTCTCTTTGTGTGAAACCTTTTGCCTATAGTAGTCTAGCTTTCAGCCTCTCAAATTGCCCCTTAGAATCTCTCTTGGTTTTGTAAACCCATTTGCATCCAATGGGTTTAGCATTTGAACTTGGTTGCACACGTGTCCAAACATGGTTTTTGTCCATGGATTTTAACTCTTCCTTCATAGCTTCATTCCACAAAACTGCTTGTTCACTTCCCATAGCCTGAGCATAAGTAAGGGGATCTTCATCAAGTTCAATTCCAGAATCTGACTCTTGCAAATAGACAACATAGTCTTCAGGTATAGCAGGCTTGCGTGACCTTTGGGATCTTCTCACAGGTTCTGGTTCATTAAGTCGAATGACATGATCAACCTGTTCTTCCTTTCTTGGTGTTGTGTCAACTCTTGTTTTTGGCTGATTCATCATGGTGTCTACACTAGAATAAAAAATATGTGGAAATAGCTGCTGATTAGGCATCAAATCAGTCTCATTTCGTACATTACCAATCTATGGACGTATTGAAACACTTGTAGAATCTTGAAATTGAAGTGGTATTTGTAGATCAGGCATCAAATCAGTCTCAACCTTTTCTGACTCCTTAAATTTCATCTCAATTGCTTTGAGGAAATTCTTAGCCTTATCACAAACTGGAATCCCCCTTCTCACAGCCGAGGTCAAAGCCTTCCTCATGACATTTAATGCCATCCTATTTGATTTTTCCCATTTCTCATGCTTGGTCCTCTACGTTGTTGTGCTCGCTTCAGTAAGTGTAGTAGGTTCATCTTCTCGAATAGCAAGATCATAGTCCATGAGCCCCAACAATATCTCAATGTCTTGTTTCTAGCTTTAGTAGTTGCTTCTAGTCAATGTCTCAATGCTTGAGAAATTCATGAAAGTCATTCCTAGAGCTGGATTATCAAAAAGAGCAACAAATTGGATTTTTAATTACTTACAAATCACAGTAGGTTGAGTACATTAGTTTATGTTGTAACTTGAAAATGCATAGGCTCAATTAGTTTCAGGTTTGGCCAAGACACAGCCATATACATTAAATTGCATAGCCAAAACATTAAATATTTGCAATGATATATTAACAACGCCTTTAGGCAAGAAGAAATATAAGACACAAGTATCACATTAATTGCAGCACACTAATTCATATTTGGATCAAGCAGTAATAACACCTTTAGACAACTCATCATAACTCATGAATTACTTTTCTGGTTTGTTCAGAAAAATCTCTTGTAGAATAAGTGTAAACCATCCAATTTGTTAAGGACATTCCAATTCATTCTCACAAGGATTCCACCAGATAACCAAGTCCTTTTTTTTTTTGGACATGATTCTTTATTGTTTTCTAATATAGAAAACTGAATATAAGACTAATTGAATTTATCAAAATATCCAATTTGTGCATTCTGATATCATCTTGAAGCTAGTGTTTTAACTAGCGAACAAAATGAACTTTATTGCCAAAATTTTGATAGGAATTAGGAGTTGGAGGCAAAACTGTAAAACATTTTTGGTTATTCAGTTAGCCACGTGTCAAGTTTTAGTTGGGAATTTGTTACAATTACTGTTGTATCCTCTAGGGTGGCTTTATTACCAATTGGAGGAGCCATTGTACGACATGTTGAGAAATATATAGAAAACATTCTTTGGGTTCTCTCTGTTCTTGGTTAATATTCTAAGGTTGAAAGATAGAGTCCTATCATTGGTATCAGGCCATTGATCCTCTAAGCTGTTCCTTTAGTGTATGACCCGTGCTCGTGTTCGTACTCATTCGTTAACAATGGACGCTCGTGATGCTGCGCTTGAAGCCTCTAATTCCAAGAACCAACTCATTTTGGAATCGATTCAGCGTCATCTTGAGGATAAGTTCGCATCCATCGACAAACGCCTTGATTCAATTGACTCTCGTCGTGAGGGTTCTGATCAGCCATTCCCGCCTCCATCTGATGACGACGATGGTGACGGGTTTCGGCGGCGAGGAGAGAGGGATCATCGAGAGAGGGAAAGGGGTTTTCCTTCTGAGAATCGTATGCCCTTTGTTAAGATGGATTTTTCCAGATTCAACGATGGGGATGATCCAATTGAATGGATTTACAAGGCGGAGCAGTATTTTGATTATTTTTCGGTGCCGTCCGACAAAAAGGTCAAAATGGTTTCTTTCCATCTGGATCGTGAGGCCTTGCAATGGTATCAATGGGAGGAATGTGCTTCTTCTTTCTCCAAATGGGAAGATTTTACCAAGGCATTTTGCAAAGAATTTGGCTCTCATGGGTTTGAGGATTTTGCAGAGTCGCTCTTTAAGCTTCGTCAAACAGGTCCTTTGAAGGATTATATCGCTGAATTCAGACGCTTGGCAACTCGAATTCGTGATCTTAGTCCAACTTTTCGATTGAGTTGTTTCATTGGAGGATTACGAGAAGAACTCAAGCATGATGTCAAGTTGCTTCGTCCTGCTACAGTTCATGAGGCCATGAATTTTGCTCATGAAGTGGATGCTAAGCTCCAAAGGTTGAGGTTTGCACATTCTTCTGGAATTTCTAAGTCAAGATTGCCTCTTTTACCAATACAAAATGATTTAGTTCCTGCTAAAACTGAAATTGCTCCTAGGAAGGATATGCCTATCAAGAAATTAACCCCTGAGGAAATCTAATATAAAAGGCAGAATAATCTTTGTTTTTATTTTGATGAAAAATTTGTGAGGGGTCATAAGTGTGCAAGGAAGCAAATCTTGTTGTTGGATATGGGTTATAATAGTTCTGAGGAGGAGGAAATAGTTCATGAATTACACCAACTTGAACAAGTAGCTGAGGTGAATGCTTGTTGTATCACAGCTTGTGCTTTGTATGGTACTCCTGCCCCTACTGCTATTAAGACTATGAAACTCACTGCGGTAATAAAGAATTGTCCTGTTGTGGTATTGTTAGACTCTGGAAGCTCTCATAATTTCATCCATATTGGCATGGTTAAGAAGTTGGGTTGGAAGTTAGATCAGTCTCATATTTGTGATGTCATGATAGCTGATGGTGGACAAGTTCAATGTAAGGGTTGTTGTGCTGCTATTCCTTTAACCATAGGGAATTATGTGTATACTTCCGATATGTTTGCTTTGCCATTGGGAGGCTGTGACATTGTGTTAGGGGTTCAATGGTTGCGAACTCTTGGTCCAATCTTGTGGGACTTTGAGAAATTAACTATGAAATTTTGGTATGGGGAGGAGCAGATTTGTTTGTCCAGTTCCAAGCCTCAGCCTCCACAGCCTATTTCTTGTCATCAGATGGACAAGTTGTTGCATTCAGGATGTTATGGACTGATTCTCTGTGCTGTGGAATGTGAAAATATGACCGCACCTGCAGATGATTTATCTTCACCACAACAGCATGAATTGCACGCCTTGTTGGATTCTTTTTCTGCAGTTTTTGGCACACCAACAACTCTACCTCCTGTGAGAGACCATGATCATCGGATACCATTGGTTGATGGTTGTAAACCACCAAGTATTAGACCATATGCTTATGGACAACTTCAAAAGTCAGAAATTGAAAAATGTGTCAAAGAGCTGATGGATTCTGGTTTTATAAGGAACTGTCATAGTCCTTTTTCTTCTCCTGTTTTGTTGGTCAAGAAGAAGGATAGCACATGGAGAATGTGCATGGATTACAGACAATTAAATGAGTTAACTATAAAGGACAAATATCCAATTCCACTTATTGATGATCTGTTGGATGAATTGCATGGGGCTAAGTATTTTTCCAAATTGGACTTGAGGAGCGGCTATCATCATATTAGAGTTCATCCAGAGGATATTGAAAAGACAGCTTTTCGGACTCATGAGGGACATTATGAATTCCTTGTTATGCCCTTTGGATTGACAAATGCTCCAGCCACATTTCAAGGTTTGATGAATGAGATTTTCCGAAATTGTTTAAGGAGGTTTGTCTTGGTATTTTTTGATGATATTCTAGTTTACAGTACTTCATGGTCAGATCATTTGAGGCATTTACATACTGTTTTGGAAATTCTAAAGCATCATCAACTTTTTGTCAAGATGTCCAAGTGTGCCTTTGGAGTTTCTACTATTGAGTATTTGGGCCACATCGTCTCTAGGCAAGGAGTTGCAGCTGATCCTTCCAAATTAAAGGCCGTTGCAGAGTGGCCTGTCCTTACTTTTGTGAAGAGTTTGAGAGGTTTTTTTGGGTCTCACAGGCTATTATCGGAAATTTATTCCTCACTATGGTAGGGAAAGTTTCCCTTTGACTCAGTTAACCAAGAAGGATGGCTTTGTTTGGTCTCTAGAGGCTACTACTGCTTTCACAAACTCAAGGAACTCATGTTGTCTCCCATGGTTCTTGCCTTGTCAGATTTTACAAAACCTTTTATCATTGAGAGTGATGCTTCTGGTTATGGTATAGGAGCTGTGTTACAACAGGAGGGAAGGCCTATTGCTTTTACCAGCAAGACTCTTGGTCCTAGAAACTAGGCCCTTTCTACTTACGAGAGGGAAATGATGGCAATTGTTCATGCCATTAAGAAGTGGCATCATTACTTGCAAGGAAGACACTTTATCATTAAGACTGATCACCATAGTCTTAAATACTTTCTCAACCATAAGGCTCACACTCCTTTTCAGCAAAAATGGGTCACTAAGCTTTTGGGCTATGATTATGAGATACAATATAGACAAGGGAGTGATAATAAAGCAGCTGATGCTTTGTCTAGATTTCCTATCAGTCACAGTTCTTCTACTGACACAGTCCAAGTCTTTGCCATAGACACTGTGGCCACTGGAAATGATGTTGCTAAGCAGAATATTGAAAATTTGGCAATTACATATCCTTATCACAGTTGGATGGATGATTTACGAAGGTACAATGAGGGTGATCCTTGGATTATCAGTAAAAAGCAACAACTTCTAGCTGTTGCTAGTCCTACACAATTATCTCCTTCACATTCTCTTTCAACAGCAAATCATTTACTCAAATTTCACATTGATAATGGTCTCCTCAAATATAACTCCAGAATAGTCCTCAGTCCTGATTCAATTTGGAAGGCCAAAGTTTTTGATGCTCATCACTCAGTTCCTACAGCTGGTCATGCTGGTTTCTTAAAGACTTATCAAAGATTATCTCGGAGTTTTTATTGGCCGAGTATGAAACATGATGTGCAGCGAATGGTGGCTAAATGTCACACCTGCCAGCAACACAAGTATGAAACTGTGTCTCTTGCTGGATTATTGCAACCCCTGCCTATACCAAATCAGGTGTGGACTGACATCTCAATGGATTTTATTGTTGGGTTGCCCCCTTGCCAAGGGAAATCTGTCATTTTTGTGGTAGTAGATCGTCTGAGCAAGTATGCCCATTTCATTGCTTTATCCCATCCTTATTCAACTGCTACCATTGCTCAGATCTTTGTGGATCATGTGTTTAGGTTACATGGTATGCCTAGCTTTATTGTTTGTGACAGAGATCCAATATTTGTTAGTGACTTCTGGAAAGAATTCTTCAACTTGCTTGATGTAGCATTACGGATGAGCTCTGGTTACAATCCACAGACTGATGGCCAAACTGAAGTAGTTAATCGGTGTTTGGAGACTTATTTGAGGTGCTTTGCTGCAGCTCAACCCAAAAAATGGTTGCTTTGGTTGTCTTGGGCAGAATTTAGCTATAATACAGCCTATCATACATCAACCAAGTTAACCCCATTTGAAGTTGTTTATGGTCAGACCCCACCCACTGTTACACCATATGAGCCAGGCATTACAAGATTTGCCAATGTTGACAGAAGCTTGGCTGCAAGGGACAGAATGTTGACCTTGCTAAAATCTAATCTCCTTACAGCACATAATCGAATGAAGACTCAAGCTGATAAACATCAATCAGAAAGGGAATTTCAGGTTGGGGATATGGTGTATTTGCGATTGGTACCTTACAGGTTACAATCCTTGGCGTCTCACTCCTACCATAAACTTTTACCCAAATTTTATGGACCTTATGAGATACTGGAGAAGTTGGGACTAGTGGCTTACAAACTCAAATTGCCTGCTGGTTGTAAGATCCACCCCGTATTTCATGTGTCTTGTTTGAAGAAGCATTTGGGAACTCACGTGACTCATTCTTTAACATTCCCTCGAATTACTGAAGATGGTATTGTGCAAGATGCGCCACTGGCTATTCTAGAAAGGAAGCTCGTCAAACGTGGAAATGCTGCAGGGGTGGATGTCTTAGTGCATTGGAAGAGTCACACACTAGAGGATGCCACTTGGGAGGACTACAATGACCTCAAGGCCAGATTTCCAGATTTCATTGCCCAGGTTGAAGCTGCTTTCAATTCCAGATGACTCAAGTTGCGTTTTCTGTAGCACCTCTGTTTTCGTTGTATTCGTTGTATTAAGTTTTCAATACTTGTAAACTTAGTTTCAAAGGGAGGGGTAATGATAGGAATTAGGAGTTGGAGGCAAAACTGTAAAACAGTTTTGGTTAGTCAGTTAGCCACGTGTCAAGTTTTAGTTGGGAATTTGTTACAATTACTGTTGTATCCTCTAGGGGGGCTTTATTACCAATTGGAGGAGCCATTGTACGGCATGTTGAGAAATATACAGAAAACATTCTTTGGGTTCTCTCTGTTCTTGGTTAATATTCTAAGGTTGAAAGATAGAGTCCTATCAAATTCAATGTCTAAAGATGATCTTACAGGATTTAACCAACCCTCAACAAAACCAACATCATCAACAAAGCAATTAATCTTGATCTTAATCACATAGAAAACAAAACTGGCCTACAGAAAATACTCATTTAAAGGAAAAACCCATACCTTGATTGGCTCATGATTTTCAATCAGCATATTTTGGGTTTCAAAGAAACTCATAGATGAAATCAATTCAGAGGAAGCAATTAGGTTCAAACAATTGAATATCAAAAGGAAAAAGAGAAAGCCTAAATCTCAATGCAATTCTTGACGGAATAGAAAAAGGCCCAAAGTGAAAAGCATAGATAATAAAATAATCCTTTTATTTTATCTGTTATTAATTTAATGTTATTATTCAATTGAAACATGGTCTGTTGAGTGAGCTCTAATACCACATGTTAAAAATTTCATGAAATGAAATCAATAGAACAACACCACCATGAATCACATTAGAATAAGCCAATAAACTTAATAACAAATCGAGAACACTAACCTGGATTAGAAGAAGAAGACGTGAAGGTCTGCATGAGCTATCTTCTATTCTTTGCAATACGAAATGCTAATATCTCAATAGGGCTAATAATATCTTAGCGTGTAATTGTAAGAATAGGGACTAGCCCTTTTATATTGATAACAATACCCTAACTTTCCTATTATATTTTAGGGATTGCTAATCTTATGCCATAATTCATGGATATCTTACAATATAAGAAGGCCCATATAGCTTTATACATTTGGACTTCAATACATACGATCCAACAAGCTATTTGTGAAATATATGCATTATAATTAATACTCAATTTTCTTCTAACATTATATATATAACTTAATTATTTATATCATTATGATAGACAACAAAGTTTAACATACAGAACAATTATATAATATAATCAAGAATGAAGAAATAGTAAGAGCCCAAGGCTAAGGTGTAAACTGACCTAGCTGGATATCTGAGCATATCAATGGTGAAGATCTGAACTCCGATATCTACAAGAGAAAGATGTATGTACTTGATGATCTCAATTCTCAAACTCAGTGGCAGCAGCACTACCCAAACTACCCAAAAGGCCCATAATTTTATTGGAGGGGAAGAAAACGTTAATTGCAATTGCCGGTCCGGCTAGGTGTTCCGGTTTTCCGATCTCGATACCCACCCCTAGATATAACTATTGATATGAAGCTATTGAACTGTACCATTGCAAGTAAAAATGTAGTTCAATTTCATAGAAGCCAAAATTGTTCAATAAATTAAGGCTTAATATCACAAAACGTCCCTAAGGTTTACGAAACTATCAGATTGCATGCTTAATATTTTATTTTTTTTGTCACTCGTGGTCCTCAAGGTTAGTATGTGTGATCACAAATGGTTCCTACCGTTAGGTTCTGTCAAAAACTCCGTTAGTTTGTTGACGTGGCACATATATATATATATATATATCACAAAACATCCCCGTGGTTCACACACCTGTCACAAATGGTCCCTACGAAATTTTTTTGTTTTTTAATTTAAAATTCATAACATTTTGGTTTTCTTTGTTAAATTATTTATAAATGAAAAAACCATTTATATAAGGATTTTAATCTTCAGGGCCATTTATGAACCCTTTAGTTTTTTCATTTTTAAATTTTAGGAATTTTAAATTATTTTTTAAAAACTCCACTAGTTTGTTGATGTGGCATATATATATGGAGCCCACATCTACAATAATATAGTGTCATATGTATTTAAAATATAATATATATTTTCAAAAATAATTTAAAATTCATAAAATTTTAGAAAGAAAACCAAAATTTTATGACGAAAAAATTAAAAAAATTTCACAGGGACCATTTGTGATGGGTGCGTAAATCTCAGGGATGTTTTGTGATTTATATATATATATATATGTCATTTCAGCAAACTAACGGAGTTTTTGAAGGAACCTAACGGCAGGGACCATTTGTGATCACACATAATAACCTTGAGGACCACGAATGACACAAAAAAACATTAAGGATGCAATCTGATAGTTTCATAAATCTTAGGGACGGTTTGTGATAGTAAGCCATAAATTAAACTATTGCGTTGAACTATTGAACAACCATTGTGGATGCTTAGGAGCTTGGGAGTGTGTTTCAAATTGCATTCCCATGTTTGGTAAGTGCACTATTGGGAATGCAATTATGGACTCATAGATAAGGACTTCTCATGTAGGGGCGAAGTTCATGCCCTTGGCTCACCACAGGAAACTTTTTCCCCCCACTTAGGAAAGCATTTAATACAGTTTTTTTGGACTAACTTACCCATGTTATTATTTTTAAATACCACTTTTACACCCTTAAAAAAACTCTTCATATATTAACCTTTAATTATTAAAAAATTAAGGGTTGTGTTGGAAACTTAATAACTTTTTATTCATAATATTGCACTAACCAAACATGGAAATGTGAAATAGTTTCATTTCCTAGTTCTCATTTCCCACCATTCCCATCTCGTGGGATTAGATATGAGAAATTTATTCCTAAAAAGTACAATCGTGAACCAAATGGGCCCAAAGGTGATTGTGTCTTTTGGACTTTTCTTTTGTTTGCCTTCGGCTTATTCATACTCATTCACAAAATAATATCATTTCACTATTAAACTTATATCGACGAGCCCAGCACGGCCCATTTATTAAATAGGCTCTAAACAAACTGGGCCGGTCCAACACGGCCCATTTGACACCTCTAATTAAACACCTATAGAAACTCATGATCTACTTTTGTAACAATTTCTATTACTTTAATAGATATTTATAAAAATACCCAATCCTAGACATGTATTTATAAAAATACCCAAGCATTATTTAAACATAGAAACATACCCAAAATGGGTTTTGGGTATGTGTGTAATGATGGGTTTTGGGTATGTTTATAAATGGGTTTTGAGTGTGTGTAATGATGAGTTTTGGGTATGTTTATAAAGTGTTTTGGGTGTTGGGTATTTTTATAATTTCAGCCCCATTTTGGATATTTTAGTGAAACTCCCTTAATTTAATCACGCACACATGACATAGCTTTCTTTTGAGAGACTTTTTTTGTTCGTTCCTCCACTAAACTCAATCCCTATTCGCAATTCCTTCTCTGGTCACCATTTCAAACAAAGACGAGATAGACGATAGGGGCACATTGGAACTTTCAAAAAGTTTTGGAAGAATAAAAACCACCGAAAGTTGAGCATGAGGAGGGCTGTTAACTTTCTCTTTTACTTTTTTCCAATAAAACAAATCTGTGTGGGGTGTGGTACGAAGCTATGACGCTTTCCACTGACGAAGGTGTGGCCAATATGATTATAGGATAGGACATCCATGTCCTACAGAATCAATTACACAAAACAAATCAACCATAGTACAAGCTACAAGGTTGGTTGTGGCCCCAGATAATCTGTAGCTTATTAGTCCGTTTTCTAGTAGTGTAAATAATTACTTTGCACCAACAGGAGTTGGTCCAAGTGGAAGGGTCTTGGATCCTTTAAACAAGAGGTCATGGGTTCGATCCCAGGAGCTTGCGAATAGAGTAGAATTTGTTGGGAGAGGTCCCCGCTTTGCGCCCGACAGTACCTCGAGGGTTAGTCCCCGCAATCGCGCGGGGGATACCTTGGTTTCCACCAAAAAAAAAAAAAA